AGGAATCAGCAAAAAAGAGACCTTCCCCTATGTGCCAAAGGGTTTTATTAGCTCTCTTTGTGTATCAAAAAAGCCTTCCCGGTAATTGGCAGCAATTAAACCCCCCAAGCTTCTTTCCTGCTAGGTGTCATTGTCTTCTAGCTGCCGTGTGACTTGACCATCTCATTGTATTCAGTCAGGCAGCAATTAGCGTTTCTAAAGTCTGGCTGGGTGAAGCTGGAGAGCAATTGACTACCCCACACACACACTTCCTGCTCTGCTAAGAGAGAGGAAAACCTTTAAAAACTCAAGGTGAAGGTCTTGTACTGTCCAAGGCTCCAAAGTACAACACATTTCTCCACGTGGGCTACCAGTGCTCGGGGAAGAAATGTCAGGAGAGTATTGCCAGTTGTCTCTAGAAACTGTAACGGACCACCCACCTTCGCAAGTAGACAGGTGGTACCCAAGATGATTTCTCTTCCAGTATTCTATACAGTTCCTTTGGACTCTGTGGGCAGTAAAAATAGACCTGCATCGATTTACCTGTTTGTTTCCAGGGACAATGCAAAGTTCTTACAATTGAAGGCTCTAAATAGTTTGGGGCCAGGGTACCTGAAGGACCATCCCTTCCCATACTCTTCAGCAGGGGTCATTTCCTGCAGGAGCGCACAGGAGCGGAGCTCCGGCAGTAAAGAGCCAGGGGGCGGGCACATGCAACAAGCCCCACCCCCCAGGTAAGTTGCAGAGTCCCCCCCCCCGGCCCGCCTTCAGGTACAAGCTCTCCCTCATCTGCGATGACAGATCTGCACGTTCTCCCGCCCCCCATAGCTAGCAATCCAAAACAGTCCAGTGGAGCCTGAGAGGTGGGTGTTGCCTTCGGACACACTTCCGGTGATGTCAGGGGTGTGTGGCATATGCAAATAAGTTATGCTAATGAGTTACGCTAATGAGCTCCTGCACCTCTTTTTCTATGAAATGACCCCTGCTCTTCAGCCCACCAATTAATATCCTCTTCCCAATCCCACCTCTTAGTGCCCCTGCCTGCAAAGGTGTGGTGGATACTATGACGAGGGATGGGATGTTTTCATTGGTGGCACCTCACCTTTGGAATGCCTCCCCCATTGAGACTAACCTGTCATCTACTTCACTGTCCTTTTCATCAGGTCACAGGCCGTATCATTTCTGTTTACCTGGGCCTTTCAGTGAAGGGGTCAATCTTTGTTACCAATCTTATGATCTGCCCCTGGGCTGTTTTATGGGTATGGTTTTTGTCTTTACACCCCTAGCAGGTTCTTTCCTTCTGGTTTTTTTGTGTGGAGGGGGGCTGGCTTTACTGTTGACTGTGTTTATATTGGGGTATTGCTTTTGCAGCATGATCTGTGTTGAGCAGGTTCATGGACTGGTGGCCTGTAGACCTCTAAAATAACCACAGGAGATGCTGCTACCCAGCAGGTGTGCCTCTGACAGTGCTGTTCTCTTCCAGGAGAGCATCCCTTTTGCTGTGATTGGAAGCAACACAGTGGTGGAGGCCAAAGGCAGACGGGTTCGCGGGAGGCTTTACCCGTGGGGCATCGTGGAAGGTAACTGAGAGCTCATTCCCATTCCCGGCTTGTGGCTTGGTGCAGGTGTCTTGCAGCAGAAATGTGAGCTTTGCCCACAAGTTGCAGGGGGCAGAAGGATGGACTGCATTTTGTTCTCAAGATTCTCAGGGCCTTCCGAGAGGATTCTGAGAGCAAATTATGGGCTGCTTGGGGGATGGGAAAGTGGCGAGAGATCTGCTCCATTTACCGCTTTCATTTAGTTTTCCCGTGGATCCAACCCAGGATGTTCAAAAGAGGAAAGATGCTGGATTTGAGAAGGATTGTACTGTATTTACTAGCTCTGACCCAATGGAGCATTCACAGATAGCAAGGCCAGTGGCCCCAATGTCAGGGGAGTGGCCGTAGCTCAGTAGTAGAGCATCTGCTTGCCATACAGGAAGTCTCAGATTCAATCCCCAGCATCTCCAGTCATAACTAGACAGAAACCAAGCCTGGGACCTGCTGCATCTGGCAATGCGGGTGCTCTGCCCTAGCGTCCTTGCTTCCCCATCCCTGATGACCCTGCTGACTCTGTCTTCCCCTGGCCAGTGGAGAACCCCGCACACTGCGACTTTGTCAAGCTACGCACCATGCTGGTGAGGACCCACATGCAGGACCTGAAGGATGTGACACGGGAAACACATTACGAAAACTACCGGGCACAGTGCATCCAGAGCATGACCCGCATGGTGGTGAAAGAGCGGAACCGCAAGTATGTTATGTGACAGGTCAGGGATGGGGAGGCAGGGGGAGTCTTCTCAGTGCTGGCGGAAGAGGGAGGGTGGCAGAGGCATGGCAGTTGGAAATGCAACCTGGGATGGCATCCCCCCTTCCCCATAACAGTGTTATCAACTCCCCACTAAGAGGCATGTTATCTTAAGAGTCCTCATATGAAGTCCCCCTTCCATTTCTCTCACTCAGAGGCTAGATTTTCGCTCTGTTTCTATTTTCCTTCCACTGACTGAGCTGCCCTGGTATCGTGTTGCTTTCTCCTTAAAAGAAACGTTTGCGGTCCCACCCTGTGTCAGTGATATATATTGGCTATTCGCTCAGCCCAGGAACCCGAGGGAAGGTTTAGGGTCACCCCTTAACAGAAAACCACTAAAAATGGTACTTGAGATGCTTTAAAATTCAAAAATAACAAAAGGTTTTATTTAACATCAAGGGGGAAGGTCAGGTGAAATCAGGGGTTGAAAATACTGAGGTAAAAGTTAGTACAAGCAAAGACTTTTGTATATATTTTGTATATATATATTAGGCTGAAGAGAGCTTCTTAAATCATTCATACTTTAAATCTTTATATTGAGATACTATTGTTCCTATGTTTTCCCTAACACTCCTGCACACTTTATTTGTATAACTGCTAACTCTTTTGGTGCCCAGAAGGCTGGTAACCCTCTTATCAGTACCCAAACCCTTTCTCTTGGAACACCAGTGCTCTTCTTGAGGTCTTTACTGACTTTTACGGTCTCTACTGGCAGACTCTACTGATAGTTTCTAATCACACCAGACCAGGGATTTCTACTCCTCAGAGATAACTTAGTCCATAAATAATTCAGTTAAGAAACTGACATAAAACTTGAACTACAATCGTACATTCATCTAAATCATACATAACTCCAATGGTCTACAGTCATCTAAGTCATACATTAAAGTCATAAATATAGTATAGGCAGAATCTTCTAAATTATCTTCATATCTAATAATGATTTTATTAGGAACATATATTGCCAATCTTTTTCTGTTTTAATTTGAATTTAAATTTATTCTTAATTTTCAGTTATATATTTGAAAAATGCTTACCTCATATAATTTGTTCTTCCATTCCTTGAGATCTGGACATCTTTCTGCCTTCCATTTGCTGCAAATATTACTTGCCGCCATCACCATGTACTTAAAAATTCACTATGTGTTTTTGTAATATTGCTAAGTAAGATATTTAATAACATATTTTTGGGGTCCATCACAAACTTAAATTTTAATATCTTTTGCATTTCTTCATGTACTTCTTTCCAATATTTTCTTGGTTTTTTACATGTCCACCACTTATGGTAAAATGTTGCATCTGTATTCTGACATTTCCAGCACTTTCCATTGTACTCTTTATTAGTTTTTGCAATGTCTTTGGGAGTAATACACCATTTAAAAACATTTTATACCAATTCTCCCTTAATATTTGACATTCAGTAAATGTAATTTCTTTAGTCCACAGGTTTTCCCACTGGCTCACGCATATATTTTCTCAAAAACTTTGCATCTATTTTATCATACAGTTTTTTACTTGCTCTGTTTCTGTATGATATTGCAATATTGTAAATTTTTCTTCATAGGTGCTTTGAATCTCCAGTGATTAATTGTTAAAAAGCGGTTTTCTCTCTTAACTGGCCCCCTTCTTTGACTATTCGTTCTTTGAATTTAGAGACCATTTGGTAATACAACAAGCACAGAATGTTTTTTCCTTCGTCTTGAATTTCTTGCCAAGATTTTATTTTTCTTTGTTTATCTATCATATGCTCATAATTTATACAGTCAATTTTATTTATTTTACTAATGTCAATAGGCATCAGTTGGAGATGTCAATGGCAAGGTTGGCGGACTTGTTCTATTTCTGCACTGAAACCATATTCTTAATAGTCCATCCCTCAAAATATGAGTGCCATCTTGTCTTTGAATAGTTTTAAATGATTTCTTAGTCCATAAATAATTGTGTTAGCTTTGTTAATATATTCATAGATTCTTCCTAACCATGAAATTTTCAATCTTTCCCATCTTTGTAAATTTTCAGTAATGTTTAACTAGACTTTTTGATAATTATCTTTATATAAATTATCATTTTGTCCTGTTACCTATATACCCAAATATTTTATTTTTTGGGTAACAGTGCATTCTGTTATTTTTTTCCTATTGCTTCTTGTTCTGCTTTAGTTGCCGCTAATAACATTATCTTGGTTTTTTTAAAATTCAGTTTATATCCAGAATAAATTCCAAATCTAATTATTTCTGTTGTATATTTTGAAGAAGTGTTTTTTTAATTAATGATATAACAATATCATTTGCATAGCTTTTCATCTTATATTCTTTATTTTCTTTTATTCCATCAGTTCTGATGTCTTGTCTGACTTTTATAGCCATATATTTCCATTGCCAGAATAAATAATAGTAGTGATATTGGACAACCCTGTCTAGTTCTTCTAGTTTTCCCCATTAAGGACCCATTTATTAAAATTCCAGCTTCCTGGTCTGTATAAGTACTTTTGCATCCAATTTAAAAATTCAGCTCCACAATTCATATTTATGTTTCTGGATGCAGAAAAAGCTTTTGATAATGTGTCCTGGTTATTTTTAATGAAAGTACTCTAACTCTCCTGTTTGACTGGGTAGGGAATTTATTCTCTCCCTAGAAGATTTATTCTCTCCTTTCCTTTGTCCTGAATGGGAGTCCTCTTCTACTACCCAGACCTCTTTGCCAAAGTCTCCTCCCAGTTCTCTTTCTGTGTTCAATCTACTCTCAGCTAATGCTGAATTCAGACTATATTCAGTCACAGCTGAAATATGACTTATATCAGTTCTAAACTCTTGCCTGACAGGGCTAGTCTCAGACAGTTCTCAATAAACATCTTCTCTCAGTTAAGCCAGAAATCTCACTCTCAGATCTCCTCAGCATCCAGCTCTGAAGTTTTTCTCAGCTCAGCTGATGCTAACCAATCCAGTCTCTTAGAGCAGCCTGTCACTCAGGGCCCTCTGGCTCTGTGAAGAATTAACCCTTCACAGTCCTGTAGTTCTATGTACAGCATGTTGTGGGTCAGCCAGTGCTCAGCGATAGTGAGGACTCCTCAGGAGACGAGGAGCCCCATGTAGCCAGCTCTAAGTCAACAGAAGCCGTCAAGCTGGAAGATGAGCTGCAGGCTTGTCAGGATTCACAGCCAACAGGAAATGTAGAGCCACAGATATCCTCCAGTCCTAATTCAACAGGTGAAACTCAGTCAATTGTTTTCAGCCCTCCAGTATCACCCACACTCTTAGACAGCCACAGACGGAGGCTAAGAGCAGAACTATAGGAGAGACAACAAAGTGCACGCCTCCTGGCCCAATGCCAACTGCTTGCTGATAGCAAGGATGAGTAGTTGTAGGATTACTCCTGAGCAGCTGGCTGCAAGCATGACTTTTAAGTATGTAGTTATAAAATCCAGCCAAGGGAGTCTGTTAGGTATGGAAGCAACACGTTGAAATCCCTCTGACCACTGCATTGGATCCTGCTTCAACCCTGTGCCTCTTTGGATCTTTTCCTGACTCTGCCTTCATCTCACTCCTGAACTTGCTTGTAACTCTTGGATTCTCAGACTTTGCTATAGAGATTGACCCTTGGACTAGACTCCTGATGGACCTTAACTCAGTGTATAACCTTGGACTGGACCTTGACCATGCTACTTGAGTTGGTGCCCTTGCCTTTCTTGCTCCATGCTCTGACAGCATGCCCTACACCATTCCCGGCCCAGTTTCCAACAGTTTATTTCTATCACAAACAAACTTTCACAGCACGGATGAGACTACAGTTGCTACATAGAACCTTGCGGCGCTGCAAGACCAGGTAGTGCAACTTACTCATGCTCTGTCAGCACTACAGCAACAGACCTCTGCTCTCCATGCTGCGCCTGCTGTACCTCTACCTGAAAGTTGCCCAATTAACCCCCTGGAAAAATTTGATGGCAATGTAGAAGAATTTCCAGCTTTCCTTGCCCAATGCCAACTCTACATGGAGCTTTGGGCCCAGGACTTTCCCACTGGTAAGGTAAAAGTTTGTTTTTTCATTAGCCTCTTAAAGGTGCAGGTGACAAAGTGGGCTCCACCTCTGCTGCTCTCCAAGTCTTAATTGCTGGAAAACTTCCTGAATTTTGTGTCTCATATGACTGCTGCCTTTGCTAACCCTGAAGGCGGAAAATGCTAATAGGAGAATCTGTGCCATAAAATAGGGGAAGGGTACCGTTGGCTCAGTACACCACTGAATTCCAACTCTTGGCCCAGGATTTGAAGTGGAATGAGGCAGCCGTCATAGATCAATATTTAGAAGGGCTATCCAATGAAATCCTGGATGAAGTTGCTTGGGTAGAGTGCTCTGCTAACCTGCAGGCTCTGATATTGCTATGACTATGGACTGATGGGCGGCTGGAGAGTTGAAAACAAGCCTGTGTTAGAACATGCCCACACCATGACTTAGGGAAGCCTGTACCCGCTTCACCTCACCGCCCTCCATCTGGGGTTCAAAGAGGAGAAGAAAGCGAACTGATACAATTAGGTGTTGCACATCCCCACTTGACTCCTGAAGAGAAGAATTGGTGCCATGCTAACTACTTTTGCATATACTCCGTGGAATTGGGTCATTATGCCAGTGGGTGTTCTGCCAAATGGAGGCTGCAGACATCAGCATTAAAAGGCCAGCCCAAAGTCAATGCGAGCCAGATGGTTTATGGCAATTTGTTGGGTCGACAGGGGCTCCCTGTGACAACCCTGGCCTGTTCCTAGTGCCTGTGAAGTTTTGCTTGCCTGAGGCACACTGGTTGTTCGTCTAGGCCATGGTGAACTCAGGGGCCTCCTGCTGTTTCATGGATATCAAGTTAGCCACACAGTACAAAAGCCCTCTTCAGTCCAAGGATACACCTGCCTTAGTTGAGGCAATAGACGGATGTCTGCTATGCTCCGGCTCAGTGGTTCAGG